GAGGGTGGAAGACGGAAAACGTGAAAGTGTAAGAAGGGAGGCGTCAGCAGTAGCATGTTTTCGCTTACCCGCCCTGCTGTATGCAGCAAGTAAGGCGACCCGGCTGATGGCACCACGCGACGGCCGATGTGGCATGAGAATATCGTTAGTTGTGTAGGTCATGGTTGTATGATGGCTTGGATACTCCCAGGGCGGCCACACCTAGACAGGGGGACGATTAGGGTCCTCAACCAAAACCTTTGGCTCAAAAGCCTAACCACAGGGCAGCGGTGTTGGGTGGAAAATGCAAATGCATTACTATTTCTACGGAACAAGTCGCCACATGTTCCAACCCCTAACTTGGACGGCCAGGAGACTGTGTTCGTCAGACCTTCAACCATTAACCAGCCTGGTATGAGAGACTGTGAGTGTCGCGGGGCACTCTCCAGTATAGCTCAATGGATCGCTGAGGTGCGCAAACCGTCACACCACGGTAAGGTCCAGTCTCTTCGTGACGGACTATGCTGAGTAGGAAAGGCTGAATGAGTAGTGTGTTAGGTCTATAAAATGTATTGCGATACCTCGAATATTGTATCAACTGAATCATGAGGCGACCTGTGTGCAACACATTCAGCTGTCGAATAGCATAAACGAGAGATTCAGTTGAGTCTCTCGTGAAAACCGAATTGATTTGCAAATGAGTGTAATTCTCGAAAACAGTCCTATTTGGGTTCAAGTAGATCATGAGTTTGACGGAAACTCGGGGACTGCGCCCACCTGATGAGCCCTGAGAGGAACAAAACTGGTGGTGAACTGCTGAAGAGTTCTCATCAACCTTCATGAGTTGTGTTTTTGAGTGAGTGAGTTAGAATAATACCAGCTCACTGCCCTCAAAAAGTGGTTTACAATACCATAACGATGAATCGTTATCATATCTTGTGTCTACCTGAGACTCAGTGGTCTTCGGTGTCTTTCGCTGCCCGTGGATAAACTGCGTCAAATTTTCAAGATTTGTAAATCACTCACCGGAACAACGATACAATTTGTCACGCTGATACGACGGACCGGGATCACCTTGGCGTATTCTTTCGCCTTCAGACCGAAACATATAAAAACCAAACTATGTATACAGGTTTTTTAGCAGGTAAAACAGAAAAATTACCGAATAGTTTCGATCCATCCAGCCTGTATGATTTCAAAGATAGCCTTGTTGAAATAGAGTTCGTGAGGAACAATAACAGGGCAGTTATTCTGGTGATAACCATGGTAATACCCAGACGATGGGCATCCAAAATCTCTGCTCAACCTGGACACATTGTGTGTATTCATCGAACTGATCGATTGCCCAAGTCATTTCAATGAATCCCCGGATCTTTTCCAGATAAGTCCCGCCAAAAAATTAAAACCCGCCACTCAAAAACGATTAGAAAAAGAGGATATGAAATTTGTACTTTTAGTTTTTATTTAAGTGGGTGAAATATTTGGGACATGTCATTAATAATTTACATGAAAAGGTCCGTTTTTCGGTACCTTTGCCTCCAAACGAACTCACACAAGTAGCTGTCCACTAAAGATCGGCGTGTGCCGCATTGATGTTTATTCTGCATGTTGTAGACGTGCCCCGCGTGGCTTGTACGGCGAGATATTGGCGTTTCACCAATCTCGACGTGTAGACCTGGGTCGCCGATAACTGTTGGGGTTTGCAAAAGCCGCCAGGCGCAAACTTCGCGAAGAAAGTTCTTCCAGTCAACAGCGGTCATGTGGCTAATAGGTAATTCCTCTGAACAGAATTTGATTTTAGCCAAACTCTTGGACCAGTAATAAACGAATGGAAGCATTACCCTAAAATCCATCCTAGACCGCTCCAGACAAGTTCCCTTTCGAAGACCAGTTTCCTGCCGACACTGTCGGGCATTACACCTCCACCTGTCAGAAACAGTTGAAAGTGTCATTTGGTGGCCATTGTTGCATAAAGATTGCTGATGGATCACTCCGTGGCTTAGCAAAAAACATTACCGTCTCCTTGTGATGGACGAGAGTTAAAAGCGTCAGAAAGTTCATTTAAGGTTTTACGAAGGTCCGAACAGAGAAAATTTTTGCACAAAATGAGCCTGGATGCGGATAAGGAATTGTTTCCATCAAAAATAGGTCAAGGTTGTGTGCGTACATTAAATTAGAGCTAGCAAAAAGTGGGGTGCGGCTTAACTTTCCGCACGTGCAATTTTTGTATTAGTGGCGGGGCTTATCTGGAAAAGATCCGAAATAATTGCTTGGGCAATGTATTCATCAAAGTGATCGATTGCCTAAGGCATTTCACTGAATCACCGTTGGCCGCATAGCTGTCCGGTGTTGTAATCTGGTCTGATAGTCACTCGTAGTTAACGCAATAATCTAACGAGAACAGTAATGCTCCATAGTGCTGTATCATGGGTGGCCGTCTGTTGGGGTTACACCTGCGCTGAGCCTGCCAGACTACGCGATAGGGAGAAGACAGAGATCTGTGGACGCGGCTGTGTTGTCAAAACATACAGAGCTTCTGTGTGAATATATATGGAGGATGACTAAAGGGTCAAATATGGTCGTTCACTTGTTCGCTCCGAACAACAAATGGCGGTGTTCCGGTCGTGAACAGTTTCGGCCCCGCTCCACTGGTCTTATGTTGCTAAGCCGTGTTTGGTGCGCTCCGCCAACACACCTGCTTTCCGAACGTGTCGTACGGATGGTGACCACGGGGACGCGTCACTCTCTGTACATGTACTTTTTCCATGTCTGGGCGCGTCCTGACACATAGTATAAACAATTCAGGTCCATGGTTCGAACCCAAAGCTGCCCCTGTCTGGGTTTGTGCGACCTGGCAGTATCTTGCTTCCTTCGGTTGGCATGGCACTGAAAAGGTGTTACATTCGAACAAATTAATTATTTTATTTGAGTTACCGATTTATGGCGCACTTTTACAGTCTGTGTGTGGACATAAACTTTCTACTCATGACCCAACGGTCTGACTGGCACCAGACTGATTTTGCCCAGGGATTGCAAAGCCTCTATAGCAGGTTGAACCTAACACCATTGTTTTCACTTAGTTTCATTCTCACCTATATCATTCAGCAGCTAGGACAGACTTCAGTCGAATTTGACCACAAGTTGAAAATCACGTGATACCGTCGATTAGATGGGACGTGACTGACCTAGTGGGCTAGACCAAAATCGATCAGCTATATCAGTTGAACGAGACTAACTGGGGCAAGAGTTCTACTCACTCTGGCCTGAGCGAATGTCATTGAGCCATTGGGAGTTGGTTGAATCACTGGAATAAATTGTAGACTTTGTGAAAATCACTCACTCA